TTCAATCACCCACATGATAAGCTCCGCTCGACAAAGTCGACAGCGGAGCTAAAAAGGACCTACCACAGATACCAACAATTACTGACCGATATCTATCCTGCCTATATTTAGTAAAATTGTTGAATCAATTGTTAATAAACAGCCGATTAATTTCATAGAAAAAAAAAGTATACTTATCTAAACACAATCTAAACGCAACACTTGCCCGAGCCGACCTGATCTCAGACATAGCCGAAAAACTGGACAAAGGTTATATTACTTTTGGAATTTTTATCGACCTGAAAAAAGCCTTTGATACTATAGATCACGATATTCTGTTACAATACTATGGGATCAGAGGGCTCCTGCTACTCTGGTTCAAAAACTACCTTTCTGTTCGTTATCAATCAGTGAAAATTAACAATATTACGTCTACATATAAACCAATAAAGTGTGGTATTCCACAAGGATCGATTCTTGGCCCACTTATTGATGAACAAACAGCATATTATGTATGACTATAATGGGGGGGGGGTTACATGGTTAAGTAATGTAATATATAACTGCACTCTATTTACAGAACTGTTTAAATAAATAGTATAATATTTTTTAAACTTAAAAATGTATGTTTGCAAATAATAGTTTTTTTTTCCAATATTGTTTGCTGTTGTTTTTATCACAGACTCACTAGTGTTTTGATAGTTATTGTGTTTATGATCGTAAACACAAGTAGTCAGCATCTTATAATTGTACAAGGCCTTCAATATATGACATAAATGCTAGGACAATGTACAGCACTAAGCTAAAGGTCATTTACATTAATTCAATAAATGTTTTAGCAGGAAACTTGTATCAATAGTTTAGATTTGTATGTTTGAAGCCGTGTTTCAATCTCAACTGTTAAAATTTTACATAGAACTGAAAATTCAATCACTCCATCTAAAGAATTGTTTCTGTATTATGACAAGATAATAAAAACAAAAAGTTAATAAAAATAATACCATTCTAATTAATTTTCAATGAGACTTTATTTTACACAAAGTGAACTGTCACCTTATGGATGCCAAGGACACTTTATTTTTCAGTGTCAGCAGTATAGTTACATAATTTATGATGGCACGTTCATTTATTAGATTTGCACTCCAAAGAAATGCATCTGTGTATTTACTATACATGTGTATACATTTTGTAAGTGAATGCAATATTGTTGTACAACAGTAAATATTGAAGTCAATTTCCCACAATGTGTCTAAACCTGTCACATGACAGACTGCATAGTGATATTTGCTCTACATGTACACCTAACTGCCACTCATCTTGCTATATAACATTACACTGCAATGCCATACAAATATTTCTTTGTTCATCTGACCAACTCAAACATACCAAATCCCATGTGCGAAGCACACATTGGAAGTTTTACGGTTAGTGCCTCAGTCTGTGTTTCCTTGTGAATGTGCGAGTGTGGTATCAATGTTGTGATGACTTCCATTTAACTTTACACTGACCAAGTGACAACCCTCACTAATTTTCATAATTTATATTCATATGCATCTGTCACCGTAATGCCATAAGTTACAGAAGAAAATTTGAATTCCAAATATGGAATGATTACGTGCGTAAGCATTCTCTAATAATAAAAACAAACATCGCTGCCACCAGGGTTTAACCGGACTCCACAGAAGGTAGTTCGCTGATCGATACTACCGCTGTACAGTCTTCGTGTATACTTTGAGACATCCTTGTAAAAACCTCATATTGATATTTAATCAAATGCAAGTCAAGTTTGCATAGCTTAGGGTTAGTAAAGGGGCAGATATGGTTTGAATTAAATAGCAATTCTATGTGATTTGCATTGTGATTGAGTTTAATTAAACTCCAATTAAATCGGAACCCTATTTAGAGTTGCATTTTAATCCAAACATAACACTACTATTTTAAAAGTTAACTCAACTATATTGAAAGTTAATCCAGTGCGTGTCACGATGAAAGTATCAGAAATAAAATACAATTTCAATCATGTGTACAAGTAGCAGAGAAATGTATCATTACTGACAGTGTTGCATATAAGTATATTATTATTGTAATTTGCTTATTCTGATTTCAACAGTACTGGCAACTTGACCGACCAACTTTTCATCAGGACAACTAATTTTTAAGAGTTGATAGCCCTGGTGTCTACCACATAATTTGTACACTGATACATTATGGGATGTAATTCTATTCAACTTAATCATAAACATTTACAACAAAAATTCACATTTGCTCTATAGTGCATTGGCTTTATGTAAATTACACAAATGTTTTTATAGTCAAAATAAGTATTATGTTTAATGTTTGGTTCATATGCACTTCTATTGGAGACATGCTTCTAATAGAACAACTACAGCAGTCAGGTTGTCAAGCATGATTTGATTACTAAAAAAATCAGAAAATTCACATTAATGTGGAGGAGAAGAAACACATTTATTTAAACTGATTGTCCACATAATTGTATCAAGTAGCAGGCAGTATGTTCTGCTTCAAACTTAGTCATAAACTGGTCAATAGTGAAGTCTCATTCTTTTGTTGAATGTTTTATCATCTACATTAGATCAGGAATTACACACACTGGGTCTCAAATAGTTCAAATTACATTGTACAACACAGTCTGTAAATAAGGTGAATGCAACCATGATTTTGAAACAATCTGTTGACGCTTAAAGAAATATAAACCACACCACTGGTACTAGACACAAGTGTGATAAACCTCTGAATCTAAATACAGATATAAGGTGAAACATTATGTAGTTTAATATCACTATGCTATTACAATCACTCCTAAAAGTACAGTATTATCTCAGAAGTGTATGTGTATATGAAATTGGTGTTATGTATAGTTGGTGTACTCCACCCTAAGCAACAAATATGTTTGCTTTATAACCCATTGGGGATTCACTTCTATAGAGCAAATTGGTATCGCCAGAGGTACATTACTTGGGGTTTGCAACTACAGTGACATGATACCAAGATCCCGTTTCAATCTCGCTCTCACATAAGTGTTCCAACTCAGAAAAATTCGAATGCGCATGCCCGAGGTAACTAGGATACTGGGATGTCCAGGTGGATCAAGATAGCTGCCCACGATATGACGGATTACGATAACTATATTTTCTGTACATTTTCGATGTATTACATTTTTTTACTATGAATGTGGTAATACATGTTTTATTGTTTTATTACAAACCGCCTATGTCATGTCAGAAGGTCGTAGCACCAGTCTCGCTATTTTGACATGATGTCACCATACAGTACTATGCGCGTTGCAAACCCCAAGTAATGTACCTCTGGTATCGCCCATTACAAATTATATAAAAAAAAGGTTGATTATAATTTGTATTCTATTCGTTCTACTTTGACTTCTTCCCCAATTAACTGATAAACATACGTCACTACTGTGGAAGCTTGAATGTCCATGAGAACAAATGATGGTGTCACATTTCTGAAATTGGACAAAATAGGATTATTAGTTATACATCAAATTAAACATCTCACTCCAAAGACCTACCATATTTATCTGACACATCACGCTAGATGATGTTTTGAATAATGGGCCATATTTTAGTAGATTATCATCACCCAGGCAATGTTTTGTACAATTATCTGCTTTCGTGTCAACACAGATCAAAAATATTCATGCACCCGATTCAATTACAATTTTTTTTTTGTATTTGGCTAAACTTATTGATTCCGTTTTGTTTCCTATTACATGTAATTAGAGCTCTTAAAAAATTATTTTCACTATTGAGTTATGTGTTCCAGTATTTGTTTTTGCTATATCAACATATCGCTCATCAGTGATGTTTTGCAGTGGTCAATCTTTCAGATAAATATAGTACATCTCTATTGAATTTGACCTATAGAGGGCGATGTCCATATACGTGTGCGAATGAGACTCTGAGTGAGACTTGTTTTAAAATTGTGAGCATTGGTAAACCATAGTAAAAATTGACTACTGTTGATGAGTTTATTGATTAACAATATGCAGTTTATACCTGAATTTTCACATAGAACTGATTTTGGGTTTGTCATGATGTCGCTTCTAAAGCCAAGAGGTAAAATTCTGTCCATTTGCTAAATGCAGATTCTGCATAGTGCTATTCATTAGTATTAATTTATGCAGAATTAGTATGCATAAAAAAGGATTTGGTCGCATAATAAGCATGGAATCCTCTGTCAGTGAAGTCATTTGAACAGCATGTGTTTAGATCTGACAAAATATTTGAGATGCTCATGGAACAATTCAATTTTCATGATCAGTCTGCTGTGTCATAGTTTGTTGGGTCAGCGCTATGTGCAGCATGTACATACTAAAACATGATAAAAGTAGGATGCTGGGTAAAGCAGAATTATAACTTAAAGCCAAATTTGGCTTAAACTGGAATATAGCAGAAGTGTTTATGAATAAGAAATTATTAATTTAAATCAGTTTAAAAAAATCCTTACGTGTCAAGTGGACTATAAGCTCCTGTTGCAGAACCAGGATTAATATAGAATTTATTTTCATGTTCAAAAGCTTCAAACTTGTGTGTGTGTCCAGATATAAGAATATCCACATCTAGCTGTCGCTGTACCATCGCTAAACTCTCTATATCGCCCCATGGAACCACTTGATGTCCATGACATAAGCCAATACGAAACTGACCAACAGTCACAACTTTTTGTTCAGGGTAATTGACATTCTGTAGATGTAAAATTAAAACAATGAAATATAAGCTGAAAATGAATAGAAGGAAAATGAGAAAAAAACATTTGGATGTAAATATCACTGAAAATAGAAGATGAAATGAAGGAATTTGGGAGCAGTCTACCTGAGGTACCTACATGTATAACATCAAAGCAATCACACTTGCGATTTTTAACACGAAGTCGAAAATATCACTTTTTACCAAAAATGACAAAAATGTTCATCAAAATATCACTTTTTACCAAAAATGACAAAAATATTCATCAAAATTAGAAATATCATCACAAAATGAACAAATCAAGGAGAGGTCTGCCCAAGGTACAAACAAGCAGCCTCTCTGCTGAGATAGCTCCGCTGTTAGCAATGCACATTTCAATTAAAGAACAGAAGATATCATTAGAAAATGAACAATATGCATAGTATCAATGCAATGGGACTTGCTGTTTCCAACAAGAATTCAAAAATATCATTTTAAAGATATCATTACAAAATGAACAAATCTGAGAGAGGTCTACATGTAGTACCTATATATGTATTATCAAAGCAATTGGACTTGCGGTTTTTAACAAGAAGTCGAAAATATCACTTTTTACTAAAAAATGACAAAAATATTCACCAAAAAATGATATGATCATGAAATGAACAAATCTGAGAGAGGTCTACCCAAGGTACATATACACCAAGTATCAAAGAATTCAGGCTTGTAGTTTTCAAGAAGAAGTCGGAAAAGTAAAACATTGACACGGACGCCCGACGACGACGACGGACAATCACTCATATGATAAGCTCCGCTCGACAAAGTCGACAGTGGAGCTGAAAATGTACATATACACCAAGTATGTAGTTTTCAAGAAGAAGTCGAAAGAGTAACAGGCAGTCTATCGGCTGAAATAGCTCTGCTGTTTTTTCATTGGATTTAACATAAGACCACCCCTAGTACCTATGGAAGCACTTGGGCCATCTCTCTTGAAAAGGAACTCAAAAATGTCATTTGACCAAAAATGACAAAATATTCATTGAAAATGCTAATTTAAATATTCCACTTGATTTAAACAAATGTGATATAGGACCACGCTTAAGTCTCTATGATGTTAATATGCAAGAATTGCAGTCATTGGTTTGACCAAAAATCACAAAAATATTCAGCAAAAATCTAAAATTTAAGATTTTGACACAAAATGAACAAATCTGAGAGCGACCTACCCAAGGTGCCTATATACCAAATTAGAAAGCATTCAGAATTACGGTTTCAAAGGAAAAGTCAAAAACAACAATTTTGACCAAAAATCACAAAAATATTCAGCAAAAATACAAAATTTGAGATTTTGACATGAAATGAACAAATCTGAGAGAGAACTATCCAAAGCACTTGCATATCAAATTTGAAAACATTCTGACTTGTGATTTCAAAGAAGAAGTTGAAATTGTAAAGTTGACGCCAACGACAGACAATCAGTAATATGAACAGGTCGACTTTGTCGACAGCGGAGCTAAAAAGTTGACACGAACGACGGCGGACAATCACTCATATGATAATCGCTTGACAAAATAAAGTGACAGTGATAAAAACAAGCAGCCTGTCGGCTGAGATAGCTCCGCTGTTAGCAATGTACATTTCAAGAACTGAAGATATCATAATAGAAAATGAACAATATGTATAGTATCAAAGCAATCAGATTTGTGGTTTTTAACAAAAAGTAGAAAATATCACTTTTTACCAAAAATGACAAAAATAATCATAGAAATTGGAGAATTAAAGATATCATCACGAAATGAACAAATCTGAGAGAGGTCCACATGTAGTACCAATATATGTAATATTAAAGCAATCGGACTTGCTGTTTTTTTACAAGAAGTCAAAAATATCACTTTTTACCAAAAATGACAAAAATATTCATCAAAATTAGAGAATTAAAGATATCATCACGAAATGAACAAATCTGAGAGAGGTCCACATGTAGTACCTATATATGTAATATCAAAGTAATCAGACTTTTTTTTTTACAACAAGTCGAAAATATCACTTTTTACCAAAAATGACAAAAATATTCACCAAAAATAGAGAATTTGAGATTTTTACATGAAATGAATAAATCTGAGAAAGAGCCATCCAAGGTACTTGCATATCAAATTTGAAAACATTCTGACTTGCGGTTTCGAAGAAGAAGTTGAAATTGTAATGTTGACGACGACAGAGACAGACAATCTGTAATATGAACAGCTCCGCTGTGTCAACTTTGTCGGCTGGGCAATTTTACTTCACAGGAGTGGGGCAATTTGGGCCAGTAATAAATCATCTTTTTTAATTAACCTGTTTGTGAACGTGTTTGAACAATGGGACATCTTCCCAACTTCCTTTGACCTTGGTAAATTTGAAACTGGTCATCGGCAAAACGAAAGCATCATTATGCAGTTGGTAAAGTTTTAGTAATTCACAGACAGACA